GAAAAAAAAAATTTAAATAATAGGAACTTTATGTGTGGTAAATATTTTTTTACTTATTTAACAGCCGGTTATACAAACGCAAACTATGTAATAATGAAACACAACGTAACTGTAACAATTGCGGTGATAAATTCAGAAGATAATGCCGTTGCTTTCTACTCAGTTATTATTATTAAATAATTTTCAGTCTCCTCGTATTTATTCGAATTACTCGTGAATATTTTGATGTGGCTCGGTATGAAAATAAGCGATATTAAGAAAAATATTTGGCTTGATATTCCTCTGCATAATTTTCTAATCAAATAAAAAACACAAAATATTAAATCAAACAATGTATCATATAATCTCAATGAAAAGTATTTTTAAAAACGAAAAAAAATTTTTTTAAGAAGCTTAAATGTCATTCGTTTCGAATTTAAGTAACCCGATAACTATTCAATCAATTTTTGTTGAAGAAGATACGATAATTAACGAAAAAATTATCGAAAAGGAAAAAAAAGGCTTAGCAGTTTAATTAATGTAATGAAACGAATAAAATCTTTCTATTTGGTCGTCTGGTGACTAAACGGGCGCTAAACTCGTGAAAAGATCCCTAGGGCAATATCCTTGCTCGCAAATCACAGCTTAGCGACTGTATCTATGTGGGACCCGACTACAGACTACAGACTACAGACTACAGACTGTGTATGCTTCCACTGTTAACTTTTACTGTTATAGCGAATATTTCATGGCGATATTGTAAAATTAAAAAGCATAGCTGGCACCCTACTCAAGCTGAGCATTATCCGAGTGCTCGGGTCTGCTGCGATAATAAGAGCGGGTGTCACGTCACAGTATCCGAGGATGAAGATCATCCCTGGATTTTTTTATTATTTGACTTAACACAATACCTAAGATCCTGTGGGTCTTTTTCATCACACGTGTATCTACACCATATGCCCCGATACAGCAATAAATATAAACATATATCGATTTTAGAGAATTGAAACCCCAGTGGCACGGTTTTAAAGCGAATTTTTTAGGGGACCGGCAAACCGCTATTTGACTTTCATTACGAGTCATATGAGGGATAAATTTATCGGGAGATTTAACAGATAAGCGAATCACATAATAGAATAAAGTCAATCCACATGTTATTGTTGAGCCGTCCAATCTTTTATAAATGCTTGAAATTTTTTAGATAAAATTTTTAATTGAAAATTGATCTGATTAAAAATACAATAAAAATATTATAACATTCCAAAATTTTTTAACTATTAAACTTTTCATCCCAAATTTTTAAAAAAATTTCAAGCCGTATACACTAGATTTTAGAGTCAAAAAATGCTAATCCAATTAAATAGTTACTAATGTACCATAAATGTCGAGAAAAACTTTTTAGTGCTGTTGAACCTAACTTTTGATTTTGTTCTTTAAATTGAACCAGATCTTTTAATAATTGTAAATCACTTCTCGAAAAAATAATTAAATATAATGATACATTTTCTTTGTCAAATTATTAAATTAAAAAAAATTATTTTTTCTATATTGTGCTTGATTTTTAGTACATCACGTGGTGTATTTTTATCGATTATTGTACTAAATAAAAAAAAAAGAAATGCATGGAATTTTAATTTGAATATCAAAAGGTCGCTCAAAAAAATCTAACGCAATGCACTAATAAATTAAAAAAAAAATTATGAGCGACCTTTTAAAATTCAAAGTTTGAACTGAAACTTTCAGGAACTTATTTTTTTGGCCTATAAAATTATGACGTAACGAGAAAAAAAATTAAGAAAAAAAAAATTCGATTTTTGACGATTTTTAAAATATAAAAAAATTTGGAGCGACCTCTTAAAATTTTTTTTTTTGAGCTGTCCTTTGGAGAAATCTCTTAAAACATCAAAAACTAAAATTTTTTTACTCGAGACTCAAAAAAAAAAAATAGATATGCATCCAAAAAAAAATTAAATGACTCTTCATTGACTTCTAAGCTAAAAATTCCCTCTACTATTCCACAACATTAAAAGACACATAATTAATTAGCAATGTAAATACGCAAATATTTATCATCGACACAAATTTACTTTTGGTAATAGAGGTTACGAAGCAATACAAATTACAATAGCGATAGTAGACATATACTGCATAGTATACAACGATGAATAAGCGAGAATAATCACAAGGGGCTTCTATTCACATTTCTCTTGTTATGCGAGAGCATACTCTCTCAGTCTTATTATTGAGTACGAGTATAGAAGTATAGGGTTGGCCTCGTACCATCACGGATGTCTACATACTTACATTCGCACATACGTCACACAAGGTTGGAACCTCCGAGTCCTAAATTCTCTCTTAAAGCCCGACTGACAAGGGAGCAATTTGCCAGTTGTTTAAGTACCAAGTGTTAAGTGCTCTGTCGTTTATGTTTCGCCATTATTGTTTTATGTTTTCGACGCCCCCGTGCCGGGGCATCGGTTTCAGAGGCATATCTTTACGCGAGCATACAACCGCGATCACACATACATTAACCTCTACACACACATATTATGCATCATTACAATTGTTATTGTTGAATCACACATTCGCAGAAAAATTTTTAGTACTTTGCAGTGTAGCAATTGAATAACACAAAAATGATGATATCTTATTAAAGACTCCGGTAAATTTTATTGACATTAACTTTAAAAAGTATTTTTGTTACTAAATTTTTTTTACGGAATTTTTCTTATGAATTAAACAGTAAATTAAAAAAAATTTTACATTGCTAATTAAGATTGATTTAATTCTCTACGACAGAACTTTACTCAAGTCGTTGAAATCTTAATTTAAAATTCTTACTTTATTCGGGGATTAAAAATGTCTGTGTCAAAAGAACTTTCGGTAATAGTAGTAGTTTCTATGATAAATATCTCGACATCATGTTAGGTTATACTGTTGCATGAAAGTTTAACTGATTAATTAAGATTTTTGTTTTGAAACTTGTATTTTCTTTTTGCTAGCGTTAGTTGCTGTTATTGTTAATGTTAGCGTTAGTATGGAACATGAAACTCAGAGCAGACGTGAATAAGTAATATTCGCCGCGAAGGTGACGATGGTGATGAGAAGACTGTAAATATGACGTGTTGAAAGGAATTTAAGCTAAAATTCTGTAGAGTTAAGATTTTCATGGACATTTTGCCGCGGTAGTAAAGCAAAGTTTAATCATCTGTCGGATTAACACGTGAATTTCATTTTGTTTTACGACTCGAGACCCCCAATGGACGAACAGTCTTCGGGGGCTTTAAATCTCGGGGAAGAATTTTTGTTAAAGTTTATGGTGATACATGCTAATATCTATGAATTTTGTTAAGTTAGAGTTTTATTTTATGGGTCATTTATTGGCTGTAAAAATTAATTGGATCATTTAGTATTTGGGTAGGTTTGGGTTTTAAGTTGATGAGTCATTAATTGACACATCAGGTGGGTTTAATTTTAGAAAAAAAAAATTATTTTCAAAAAAGTTTAAAATTTTTTTAAAATAAATTTTTGCCTAAAAAAAAAAAAAGAAAAAAAAATTGTTGGGATCAAAAAATGATTTTAAATAAAAATTTTGGACTATTGTAATAAGAATAAATTAAAAAATAATTAAATTAAAAAAATTTTTGTTGTAAAGTTTTATTAAAAAAAAATTATTGAAAATAAAATAGAAAAAAAATTTAATATTGATTTAATGTAAAAATATAAAGCTGATTAATTTTCGATCAAAATTTTGTACGAATGATCTAATGAAGAATAAAAGACTTAAAAATTTTTTTAAGAAAAACTTAAAAGTTTTGGACACAACAAATATAATTAATAATTTTTTTACAAAGAAGCTGCAATTAAAAAAAAAAAAAAAAAAAAAAATAAGATAAAATACATCTGAGAGAATTGCAACACAAAAAAAGGAAATTTTTCACTTTTCTATCCTACAAAATAAATTAAATAAATATACCAGCAAAGTCAACAAAAAAAAATAATTGAAGCAATAAAAGTGAAAAATAATTAAATGCAATATGAATGAATAAGCGGTGAGTATAAACATATCTCTTGATACATTTGCGGACGACGGTGGCACTCACGCACGTACCAACCAGCGTCCCAGCACGTTTTGACCCCCGACACATCTATTGTTTCTACCATACACCCGCATATCCAGCGCAATATATTTCCGCAACCCTTATTGCTGAGGGTAGTTTGTCATGTTAATTTTGCTTTCGCGAATCCGTGAGGGTGGCTGAAGCTTTTAACGCACTGCCACCGTCCGCTTCTTTCTCTCATTCTCATTCTCATCCTTCTGTTCCTTCTCGTCACTTCTATCTTTCTCTGTATATATTTTATTACACACTCACACAGTCATGCACTGCTCGTCTATCTACACATAGAGATGCAAATCCATCCCCGACGACGCTGCCGATGAAAGGGTTAACTCAACTGTCGGTCATTAATATGCTAATAGTTTTCGAGTTTCGAGATTCTGGCTTATGAGAGTTATTATCGCTGCGTAATGACCCGAGAGTATTTTTAACGGAAGGGTTACCTCGTGGTTCCGGTCCACGACATTTTATACTTTTTTATTTGTTTTCATTAAACTTTATATTTATTGTCCCGACTATCAATGAGTCTTTCCATTCAATTGATTTTTATTTATTGGATTTTTAATGGAAAGTTTGTTAGTTATTTTTTTTTTCAGAAGAAATTTTATAGTTTAAAAAATGAAAGAAAATTTTTAATAAAAATTCAGTCAAAATAAAATTATAATTTACATTAAATTTTATTGGTTACATTTTTTACAAATACTTAAAACAAATTTAAAAAAAAAAAATAAAATATTAAAATTATGTTCAGTTTTTATCATAGAAAAATTAATTACTACTAAAATTTATTAATTAATTTTTATTTATTAATTTATTAATTTATATATAATAAAAAAAATTTATTAATTTATTAATTACTACTAAAAAGTCAATTTTAAAAAATTATGAATAATTTTTTTTCAATTAAGCAGAATTTCCCTCACCTGAGTTTATTTTTAGACTGTTTATTTTAAAAATATGAAACTTTTTAAACAACTCCAACGCTAAGTACGAGTTAGTGTTTTCCAATTTCATGAACTCGTAACTATTAACAATATCTTCTGATATGGCTCCAAAAAACTCCAAGGCGTAATTCTTCAAATTTATAGCAAAATGGCGATCCGCTAAACTTATTATTTCAATAAAGTTTTCACGATTTAAAGACCTACTGAGTGACTCCTCGCAAATTGTTTTTAAAGTTTCAAGTTGAAACTTGTCAGCAGCCTCCAACACTTGAGCAGCAGCATCACCCAGGTTATCAGCTCGATCAGTGTAAATAAATTTCAATACTTTTTCAAAAATCGTGGATTTAATATCTTCTAGCAATAAATCCTTCTTAGTTGTGTCCTGGCTGAGCAGTTCTGCTAGAAATTGACTGCGCATTTTGAGGAAAATTTTGTGAGCTGGAAATCTTCGGCCCTCGACAACAATAGTAATATCGGTGTCGTCTTTACTCCAGTATAATCGTTCCAAATCGTCGGCTAATGAAGTTTTTGACGAATTGTAGAACTTTGGACTTTTAATATCAATTGAATTTTCTTCTGAACTCTCACTTAAATTTTCACTTTTTATTGTTAACACACCAAGGTCGTCGTTATAATCGGTAACACTAACTACGATGTCTAAAGTTAAAGTATCTTCGGGTAAAAACTCTAACTTATTTCCCAGCAACCATCTTTTAGGGATTATTTCATTGAAACCGATAATCGCTTTAGGGGAAAACTTATATTGCAAATGATTCAATAAAAGTTGTTGCCGTCTGTAGTTTACTATAAAAAACTTCACTCTCGCGGTAAATACGTGATTACTCATGTTTTGCACGTGAACCGATATGAAAGCTTTCAATTCAGATGCATAGTAATTGTTTATACGTATAGAGGCTTCCCACAGATCTCCAAGTTTAGCACCGGTGGAAAATTCAGATGACTTAAAAATAAAGTCTGATTTATCGAACGCCAAAATATGCGATGTTATTTGCGGCACTTTGGTTTCTATCACTTTTATTGTTTCAGAATAGTTACATTTTGTTTCCATCTTGAAATTTAATCACTTCACTATTACGAAAAATCACAAAATTTTGGTGAAAAATAAATTATATTTTAATTGTAAGTTTTAAAATTTAATTTTAAACGCCTGATAGTGAAATAGTATAATAAAGCGTATAAAAGCGTAAACATACGTGACTATATATCGGAGAATGGCCGAAGTCAAAACCATGCGGGTGCGCTTTCTACCATCTATAGATGCATGTGGAAATAAATAGTCAAAGTCACAACTAACTAACTAACTATAAGCTTGTAGATTACTAAAAATACATTTTGATAATTTTTATTTATAAATTTCTAATGTAAAAAAATTTTGGATATCAAAATATCAAATAGGTAAAAGAAATTAATAATTTTTTTTTGAAAATTATTATATTGAACACTGGTATATATTATATTATATGAAAAAGTATACACAATTACGAGACATGAAAATTCTACCTAGCTTAAAGTTCGGTGATTTTCACTCAAAACATTGAATAGTTTGTATACTCAGAATTTTTCTATACTAAGAGTTTAGTAGATTACTAAAAATAAATTTTGATCATTTTTATTTATAAATTGCCAGTATTAAAAATTTTGGGTATCAAAATATCAAATAGGTAAATGAAATTAATAATTTTTTTTTGAAAATTATTATATTGAACACTGGTATATATTATATGAAAAAGTATACACATTTACGAGACATGAAAATTCTACCTGGCTTAAAGTTCGGTGATTTTAACTCAAAACATTCAATAGTTTGTATACTGTGAATGTTTCTATACTAAGATTTTTAAAACTTAGCAATAGTCAACGTTTCTACTATACTCTAATAGAACAGTCTACGAGAAAAATGAAATGATACATGAATGGAGGAAATAATCAAAATGGCGGCTATTTAATAATAAATGAGGAGTTGAGTTTCAAAAGAGTATCTTTTTATTTTTGATTAATCGACACAAAAAACTGGTTATCTTCAATTATAAATATTTTTATTGAATTTTTTTATTTTAGCTATAGTGTTATCGATTATGAAGCTATAATTTGATTTTTATGTAGAAATCTTTATAATTCTCGAACTAATTAATATTTAATAGTTCAAAAAAACGCTTTTTTAAAATATGAAAAGATATTCTTTTGAAAATCAGCTCCTCAAATGTAATAATATTGCACTGATGAAAGGATTTAGTAAAATTTCATAAGTTTTATTTATTAATTGTTATTTATTATTTAATTTATTTGTTGACAAAAAATTATTTATCAATTGTAAAAAATAACTAGAAGTAAAAATTATAGGATGAAAAACAAATATTTTTATTGTTTGTTTATTACTAAATTATATTTTATTACATTAAATAATAATAAGAAAAATTAAAATGCTTAAAATTAAATTTTACAAATATCATTTTTAAAATCTATTCATACTTTATTTTCTAGTCATTCTTAATTCTGTCAAGTTATTCAAATCCTTTTAAATCATATGTTTTATGGTCATTTAACATTGTAAAATCGATTTGCTTAATGAGGATACATTATTTTTAATTTAAAAATATATTAAGAACATTTTTAGCTAATAATCTCTAGAACCGCAGCTCCAGCAATTAGAATATGAAATGTATCAATGATAGAATAAGTCAAAACTTTACTAGTATTTTGAATAACAACTCTTTTGAGTAATTCCAACGCCAAAGACGGGTTGTTTTTTTCCAGCTTTTTGAATCCATCAGTATTGATAACATCTCGCTTTCCGTCGACAACATATTTGATAGCATGTTCTTTCAGAGTTTCCGCACGGTAACGATCTGCTAAATTCACGATTTCGAAAAAATTTTTCAACTTGAAAGACTTGATGCTTTCGTATAATCGTATACGAATGAATCAAAGATTGAAGCTGGTGCATGTCAGCAGCCTTCAGCAGGTCTAAAGCCACGACGTCCAAGTTCGCTACTCGGTCAGTGTACATGTAATTCAAAAATTTTTCAAATATTTCAGGTGTGATGTCTTTCACCGAAACTCGACTAGTTTTTTTCTCGATCATGTCGTGGGTGAACATCGCTGCTAAAACTGGACTGCGTGAACTCAGGATTGTTTTGTGAGCCTGGAATTTTTTGTCTCCAACAATAAAAGTGACATCGGTGTTGATCTTGCTTTGGTAAAAACGTTCTAAATCGTTTGCTAATTGATTCGCAGAATTTGATGAGCAGAAATTTTTTATTAGAATTGTCCTGGCATCGTCCTTAACAGTAATCTCGGTATGTATTGTCAAAGAATCGTTAACTAGCAGTTCAAGCTCATAATTCGATAGCTTTTCTCTCTTGACAGGTCTCGCGAAAGAAAAATTTTTGGGCATCATAAATTCATATTCAAAAAGAAAATGTTTCTGTTGTTGATTATTCAAAATAGAAAATGCAGCTTGAGCTATCACGGAATCGTGATGAGCATAGACAAATAAATAGTCATATCAGGAATTGATCCTAATTTACCAGAATTAGCCAAATGTAACCGAATCCGCCATTTATCTCCAATTCTAGATCCTGTTGTGAATGTTGGAGATTCTAGATATAGGATTGAATTACCTGCCTTTTTCATACGATTACTAACTTCAGTTATTTTCCACTTGAATTCAATTGTGTTTTTTTTAACAAATTTATAACCACTTTCCATTTTTTCGTTGTAATAACACAAACTAACACACTTATTTACGATTGTATTTAAGTTTATTAATAACTAAATTTTTTTTTCACTTTTAAACTGAATATTTGATGGAAGAAACAGTAACCATACCTTACGAAGTTTTGCGAAGAATGACTAAAAACCAACAGATGCGAGGCTTATATACTTTCTGCTCTCGGTAAAATATTTAGAATCCTATATTATATTATATATTATATTATATATTATGTATTATATTATATATTATATTATATATTATATTGGCTGCGTTCAAGTTTACTAAGTTCTTCGCAGATCTTAGCATATTTTGTAGCAACAACTTAAAGTAACTATATTATTTTTTCAAAAAATCTATAATAAAACAATGCAAGGTATATTTATTTATAGGTAGATAAAGCCAGCCCTGCTCAGAACTTAGTAAACCTGAACGCGGCCATTATATATTATATTATATATTATATTATTATTTTATTATATATATACTAAAATTGATGGTAGAATGAAGTTATCTTAGTATCGAAAACATGGACCCTGATTCCTTATTGGTTAAGATTAAGGCGCGCGCGTAGCACGCTATTCAAACTTCTAGTATTTTATTAAAAGAGCATGCCAATATGAAAAAAATTATCAAAAATAAAATAATAACGTGACAAATATATAAATATGCATGAAATATTTATTCTTTAAAAATGACTTTTAACCAAACTTTGTACATATTTTTATAGTAATTAAAACATTTAAAATGCATTTTAGAATAAATAAAAATGACATAAAAATATAATAAAATATATTGAATGTATATTTTTGATACTTTCAGAATTTTTTTATATTCTTGATACTTTTTATACATTTTTTTATATACTATTCATTTATTTTAAATATATATTTTTTTATATTTTAAAGTATGTTTTTTTCATGGAAGCGAGCAGGGTACTAGAGTGGATATGAACATCTAATGTTGTGCAGTAAAACCATGATTCTTTCTAATGTAATATAGATATACCTCTAATTCAAATTCTCTGAATTTATTTTTATGTATTTAAGCTGCATATAAAAAAATTAACCCTTTATTTCAAAGTTATTATAGTGCTTATATTTTATAATATTAATGAAGTAACAAGTAGGTGAAATATTAATATTAATCATTTGAAAAAATAAGTAAACTTTAAAAAAGAATTTGGTTGGAAAGAATGAAATTTTTAAAAAATGAACAAATTATTTCAAGAAATTATATGTTCAAATTTAGAAATTGACAATTTTTTTCAATCTGCACTTGAACTTGTCTGTTTTTCCTTCATCTGAATCATTAATCAATGTAAATACATATTTATTAATACAAAAATTGATTTGGCAAAAAAATTCAACAAAAAAAAAATTTCACCATTAAACAACTTGAATTAGACTGTAGATTAGGCATGATTGCGATTAGGAATTGTGTTTGGCGTATCCAAGGCAGCTGAAGCCGAAGTTTAGAGCACAGGAGCTGAAACGGTGAGGATGAGGGTTCTCACGAGGGTCAATTAAAACTCGCTAATTAACCCGGGTTTTAAATTAATTAAGATTCTAGCTGGTAGGTGGCTCAATTAAAATCGACGACACAAAGTCAAGTGCGTTCGCACGATCATGCTCAAACTTGTCTTTAAAACTTCCCGACTCCTTCGACCCTCCACTCACTCGGCACCTGCACTCGTCCCAAAGCACCAGAACAAAAAGTAATAATAAATAATGAATGACAAAAAACGAGTAAACAGAAAATTTTTAGGCACTAGATTTTAATGAGCGGATTTGTTAAATTTCCTCCGCGGTCTCGGTCTCGGTCTGCCGGCAGTACAAGTACGACCCCCCAATTCTTTATTTTATACTTAACATTTTATTATTATTATCATAATCATCGCAATACTATATACTATATACTATATACACTATATAGTGGAAAAGCGGAAAATAATACTCATAATTATCAAATCCAGGCAGCGATAAAAGTATTCTTGAAAGGATCTCTCTAGTGAACTTCCTCATTACTGGCATGTAGTCTAAAAGTAAATCTCGGCATCAAAAGCAACTCTACTTTTTCGTTTTACATTTCATTTTAACTTTTTATAATTCTCCTTGGTAAAGCCTTAACTTACATAATTTTACTGCCTGCACTTTGTCGCAAATACACACTTTGACAAACACGAATAAAAGGTTAAATATAAAAGAGATGGGACAAAAAAAAAAAGAAATAAAATGATGAAGATGAAAAACTGTAGAGATCGCGAATTACAAATTGTTAAGATGTGATGGTGAATTTTCTTGCAATTAAAAAGTCACGTCTTGATCCTGTAATAGAGGATCAGACCAGAATGTTACATTTCACGAGCGCTTAAATTAAATAGCGATGATGAGGCGCATCGAGTTAATAACCATTTATAAATCGTACTGAGTAATGAGATTATGGATTGATATATTTATGACAAAAGACAAAGATAGACACAAAGGCATGAAGTTTCCAGTTGCGTTTACTCTTGCAACCGGGTGATAGCAATGTAGCAATATAGGGAGAAGACGTTAATTATCAAAGTTTACGAGCGAAGCTCAGGCTAAAAGTCAAATTGGAATGCTAATTTTTTGGGGACGTCGATCAAGCTAGTTTAATGTCCTTGACGTTTTACGAGTTATCGACTGGCTGCACTAACTTATTTCTTTGTTTTTGGCTCTGAGATAATTAATACAACGGCTCAGACAAATTGGGGTGGTAATTTACGAGCTATGAGGATTTTTTATAGAAGTTTGAATAAATTTTTGAAAATCAGGAGGAAAAACTTTTTAAGATGTTAAAAATAATTTAATGTTGTTTGTTTGATGCAAAATTACTGAAAAATATTTTTAACAATTTATCTAAAGTATAAATTTGTAAATATTAAATAAATTTCTTTTTAAAACGTTGAATAAAATTTTAATAAAAATTATTTTGTTATTAAAATATTTAAAAATATTGATTATTTATTTTATATATCAATATCTCTCATATGTAACGTGAAAGCCAGTGTGATTGGTTACAGTTATGAGTTGCAAGCGTTTCATTTGTGATTGCGAAGTATGAAAGAACTAAGAAGTATAGCAGGAAAAAAAAAAAAAAAAAAAACTAAGCGATGGATGCATAAAAATGAAGTGTTAAAAAAAACGTAATGACTAGGCGACTGGCGCCACTTGAGCAAACATAGTTGCCTTAACTTCTTCTTAGCACCTTATTTCCATACGATTACAAAGCTCTAGTCGGTGCATGGAACGTGCGCGAAACGTGTTACCTCCCGGCGTGGGCGACTACGTGGCGCAAGTAAAGATATAACTCACTGGAAACCAGCGATTGTGTCTGTATACAAACACACGGCCAAGTACAAATCCTCTTTTATTATTTCTTTTAAATAAGAGATTGTAGATGGTATATTGCTACATTACTGCATTATGATGCGTGCGATTGTTGCACTGTGAGTTTGTAAGCCCAGAGACTGGTATAGTAGACCCGTCTTGTCTCCATACTGGTAGGACCCACCAGACGATACCTATCCCAAGTAGGAGACGCGGAAAATTTAATACTTTACAGTAGACTCGTTTGCTATATAATACTGTCTCTAGTTTAATTTTATTCGCGGATAAATAATCAATAAAGGCTTTTTATTGAGTGCAACGAGTAGTTGCTGATTATTCATTGACACTCATGAGTAATTATTAATTTTAATTATTTATTTTTAGAATGAAGATAATATTGACTCTTTCATTATGCAATTTAATTAAAGTCACTTAAAAAATTCACTTTATAACAGCCAGGCAAAACACCCTCATTAATCATTCTAATTCACGGCTGATCAGTTCAGTGGCAGCTAGCAATTAAATAATTTTCGCTTATCAATTATTAATTACGTTTTGAAGCTTTCATTGCTTCTGACACTCAATTCTAACGATAAAACATTTTATCGTAAACAAAAAAGTTAAATGATTAGTGAGTTGTTAAAAATAATAAAAATTTAACGCGTATACAAATTGAAATAGGGATGTAAATTCTTACTACGATTAGCTAGATGTCTTTAAGTCACATCGACCCTTATTTAAGGGAACTCGGAAAGTTTTGGATGAACTCCCTCTTTGTAATCGGTGTGTATACAATAAAATATACAATTGGAGGTCTTTCCTCTTAATAACAATAATAAAAAAAAAAATAATAATAATAATCTTGTTATACAAATTTTAGTTTTTACAGAGATCTAACCAATGAAGTGATTTGAACGCAAAAAATAAAGCATAATTATTACATAGGGGTTGCCATGGCGTACCGGAGACGGAAAATTTTTGAGGGTGAATAAAGATCCTTGTGTGTAAAGTTCCTCGTGGGATATAAGGACGAGTGTGAAGGGATGGGGCGAGACGCCCTGTTTAAGGATCTGATGCAATAAAATGAGATAAAAATAATAAGATACAGATCGTTTAATTTAATAATTTTGTTGAGGAAATAGCTTTTTCGAGATAAGCTTTCACGAAATTTATTTTATTATTATTGTTTTTTATAAATAGAATCAGATTATTGTAATTATTTACGTAATTCGTTATTATTGTTTTGCAGTGACGTTAAGTATGAGAATAAGAAGCCAATTATTTGTTTTATTTTGAGTGATTCTTGAGTATTTTAAGCTCCTTGTTTAC